CGCTATATTTAGTCTTGTAGAATGCAGAAAGAAACCAGTCTAAAATATTGTTTTTTAAAAGTTTACTTTTGTTAAATATCAGTTATCTACTTATTCATAATTTTAAGGTTAGCAAAATTTTACTAAAGTAGAGAGCTTCAAAGCAGAGAAGCAGTCAGAAAAAATATAAAAATCATTTCTGACTTTACTGAATTTCAATTTTCAGAAACATTTTTTCTTTGTGGAAACGTAATGTTTAGAAGATGACGCAATTAAAAGATTAAATTATGGAATTTCTTTTGACAAGTCGACACTGTATCAACAAGAAAAAAATTTCTATGCCACTGATATGATAATAGGAAACGGAATGACACCAAAACGCATTTTGCAGAAACAGCGTTGAAAATAAATTTTTCAGCAAATGTGCATTTGGAAATGCCCTACTATAGTGCCGAGCAGTCAACGGAACAGCACCAAACTGTAAGTACTCAAATATCTGAAGAAGACTAGGTACAAGGCATCTTTTTTGGATCGACCCGGTTTATAATTGAGTACTTTGGTCTAAAATAAGCTTTGAAACCTTGCCTAACACTTTTGCTATTTCTTTGAACCGGAAACACTCGATTCTTATTAGAAGACTTTCTACAGATGCCGCCCGGACGTTGCTTATCAGAGCATCCTTTTATCCGGGTCAAAATATTGCTGTCTGCAATGAACTGAAGCGAAACCTGGTAAATAGCGTGGTTTTTATGGTTTTTAAAAAGACTTACCAAAAATTTGTTAGTAAGCTGATAAAATACCTCAGTTTTCAAGAATTTGTTGAGTTTTTTTCATAGAAACGGCGATTCGTTGACAATGCCTTAAACATTTTACAAATAACGGCAGAACCTTTTTTATGACATTTGGTAGCTTAAATGCCGCAGCTGAATTGATAGGATTACTCTCTCAAACAACTACTTTAGACGGTAAAAAATGTTTCAAAACTGACTCAGATTTGGTTTTCCTTGTAGTAATTGTAATACAGCTATAATGACGTAAGACATCTTTTCAAAGTTTTTATTTGATAAAAAAACCCTTCATAAACAACATATCCAAAACGGGTTCATATTCGTATTATTTTATCAATTCTCGTGGACAGCGGTTTTTGTTCTTCATCGAATATTGAATAAAATGAAGTAAAACTGGGAGCATGGAAAGTGAAACTGTAAAGTAAAAAAAGGTTCAAAAAGATTCTTCCTTCAAAACTTTGCAGTTCTTCAAAGTTACCTTTGAAGAATTTTTTACGAAACAGTTTAGCGATGTACAGTGTTTAAAATTTTCTCTATCGTTTTTTACTCCATTAAAAATTTTATTGGTAAAGTTTGCCAAGATTCTGCTTTTTATTCTCATTTCTCGCGCTTGTAGTTCTACAAGTTTAAATAGTATTCAGTTTCTTCTCGTCACTCCAGAAATATTTTAATTTTATTGTCTATGTTGTACTCATTTATCAAACTTTTGATGGCTGCTCAAACAGTTTAAACTTTTCAGTCATAGCGTATCTTTAGAGAACAGTTAGAAATAGATTTTTATTTCAGTAAAAACTGGTACACAAAGCGTTGACAAACAGAACTGAAAAAGAAACGGCTACAAAAAACAAAAAGAGTAAAGCAAATATTGTCTGAGGTGAAGGTAAAAGGTTTGATTTTCCTCCCGAAGATTCTTCCAAGCCTGCTGCTATTAGTGCCTCATCTCCGTTACACCATGACCGATCACAGGCACAGCGGTATGAATAATAGGAGCCAATTGGAACTTGTGCACAGCTGTTCTTTTCATTTTTCTCATTACTGCAGTGTTTCTGTATTACGCGTCCCTCTATAACATTTGTAAGAATAATAAAGAGAATTTAGACAAAGAAATGAATTATAAACGTCTACAGATTCTGCGGCTTATCGTCATGGCAACAGCTCTATTTATAACAAATGACTATTTTTATAACATTCTGTAAGTTAAAAAAAAGATGTAGCATTCAAATATTGTCATTTTACCTTTGTACTTACTAAACGTCTCCATTTTGACACAGAATTCGCCTTCACATTCTCCAGCATTGCAGCTTCCGTAGTCTGAATGACAATCGAAGCAATGAACACAGATTCCTAAGTAAGTGTATATTACTGCACTGTCAGAAACTTTTCCATTGTTAAAAAATTTTAATCCTTTTATTCAAGGCACTTCTGCATCTCTGAATCTGTGAACAGCATCTC